TATATTTCCTGGTTTCTGACCAGGCCTTCAGTAATTTTTAATCATTAATTTATGGTAGGCAAAATCAACGGATTATATCTTAATTTATAACAATTTACTAATTTATGGTAATTAAATTCGCCTATTAAATATAAACATGATTTGTTATTCTAAGTCTTCTAAAAATGGAATATTCGGATATAATATTTAATATTTAACAATAAAATCACGATAATTTAGTGATTGAGATTGAATAAAGTTATTTCTTTTCAAAACTAAATCTCAAACCAAATATTCTAAAATATTAACTACCCCATTTTTACAGCCTATATAAACCATTCCATGTTTTCTTAGTTTACATTCATTTCAAAAGCGAGACAAAATATATATCTCACAAAACAAAGCATGAACTAATACAAATTTTCACACCACATGCTTTCATATCGTTTTTAATCAATGTTTACTCATAATATTTTACTTTTTGTGTTTAATTTTTTTAAAACAACTAATTGTAATCTACTTTTTTGATGTAGTAGCTTGAGATTTTGAGGTCTTTGGGAAAACTACGAAGATCAACAACATCCTCCCCAATAAACCCAAAAAACGTGGTATGCATTCGAAGGTTATTTAGTCCTACTTCTTATCATCATATATGTAAAAAAAGTTAAATAAAATGGTTAATATTCCTTTTAAAAAATTTTCCTCTAAATTACATGGTATATATATATATATATATATGCATATTAAGATTTTATCGCAATCGTTTATTTGTAGATTAAATCTTGATCGTTAATCTAAATTTTCAAATATCTAAAAGATTTTATAGATATTATAATTTTTATCTAAGGAAATATATTAGGTGAAGAATCTCAATATATTATGTCTTCATTACTATTCCTATACGTGAATTAAATATTTCCTAAACTATTTAACTAAAATCATTTATATTTAAATCATTTATAGCACTCCTTTTCTTTTAAAGTTTTATAATATGTATATATAAGTATTCATTATTTCCTGAATAATTTAAAGTTTTCAATTAATATATGTGAAATTTATAACCAAAAGGTGCATGTAAGGCTACTAAGGAATAAAATTTAAAATAAATTCAAATTTATTTTAGTGGTTTTATTGTAACTCTTAAATTATTTTCATTGTTATAAAAGAGAAAATAAATTTGAAAAATATATACGTAAATATTTTTTTGAAACATAAGATATGCAAGATATCTTAAAAGATCTTATGTAACTAATATATTTTTTAACCATGAATAAAAATAATATACATTTTATGAAATAAAAAATTTGAATGATAACATTTTTTCTTTAAAAACTTATAAGAAAAAATCATTTTCAGAAACGAAAAAGGAAGGAAATAAATTTCAACTAATATTACCTCTTTTACTAACCGATTTTAGATAAAAATGATAATAAATTTAATTTTGGTAAGCATTTAATTAAATTAAACTAAATTTTAAAATATTAAAATAGCATTACTTTGAAAGATATTCTGGTCATCTCTTAAAACAGGTCTCTTAATCGGGTCTTGGAATTAAATCTTATTTTCGAATATCTAAAAGATTTAATAGGTATTATAATTTTCAATTAAGGAAATAGTTTAGGTGAAAAATCTCAGTATATTATGTTTTTCATTAATATTTCTAAATTTAAATATTTCGTACATTATTAAACTTAAAACATTTAATTTACCTTATTTCAAGTAGATTAAAGATTAAATTTTATATTAAAATTGTTTACAATTACAATATTTATCATATTTTCCTTTTTTGTTAACATTTTAGTAGATTAGTTTATCATATACTTTTGCCAATAGTTAAATTTTATTCATAAGGTATTCATAAATAGATTATCCAAATTTATGAAATTGTTATATATCACTTATGTTATCTTTCAACCGATATACAATTTTTGTAAATTATATTAAAAGATTGCATTTTCTTATACACCGTTGAGGTAATGTCCGTGATTGATAAATTTAACGGTTTTAGGGAAAATATAATATATACGTACTTATATTAAAACCAGACCTACTTACTATTGTATATATTATTTACTTTCTATACAGTTAAAATATACAAATCAACACGCGATTTAACTCTATAGAATTAAAATTAAAATATACAAGACTATTATGTTTATCCTATACTATTGAATACCAAATATTAATACAAATCCAATTATATCTTTAGTTTAAAAACATCATCCGTGCGAAAGCACGGGCCATCCTCTAGTTATTAATTAGAGTGAAGTGAACTGAGTAATTATCTGAAATTTCACAATGCTTCGATAAAATTTTAACCGGCTTTTGAATAATTAATACTAACTTTACAAAGATGTCATATTTTTGTGTGTGTGTGTCTTGTTGAGAAAAAAATTTGAAATCGTTTAATTTGTTGGTTAATCGGTCAATTGAACCGGAACTCTGACATTAGCTAAACCGGAGTAAGCGTAGTTAGTAGTAGTGGCTCGCTTACTATGTGACCTGAGACTCTGAGAGTCTGAGTCAGTAGACTGTAGTCTCCACACAGTGTCGTGTTCCCAAAGCACAATAGCTCCACACGGTTTCACGCCGCTCCTAGTCCTAGACCAGAAGAATTTGAACGAACGAGTCCTGATTCTGCGTTTGCTTCTTCTTCTTCATCTTCTAGACCTGATCGCGGATTTCACAGAAGGTGTGTGTTCTCTCCCTAAACCCTAAAACTCTCCAGATTGCTTTTGATTTCGTTTCTCTGGTGTCTTAGGCGAATTTAGATTCCAATGTTTTCGATTCCTCGGTTTTGCTCAGGCTTTTTTTATGAGATTTGGTTTCTACATTCTACTGATTTCGTAGAGTCGATAGAGTTTAGAAATCGTGATTCGATTTCGCTGGTTTTAGATTTCTTTGTTCTTCACACTTGTTCCGTATAATTTAACCTTGAACTTGGCTTTAAAAGTAACTTGCAAATGATGTCGTCTGGTTCTACTTCGATTCTGCTGAGAGTTGTGAATTTTGTGCTCGAGGTTTTGTATTAGGATACAGATACAGTATGTAGTTTTTGTATATTGACTTGGTAGAGCTCTGAATGTGATTGTGGGATATAAAGAAAGTATAATGCCTTGATGTTAGAACCACATTCTTTTTTCTGGTCGTTTTTATGTATGTTAGTGAGGTTGTGCATTTCTCACGTCATTTCATTGTCATTGTCAGGCTGTGCATTTAGCTTGTCGCCATGTCTGCCAGCAAGAAGACTGCTTCTCGTTTGAACGATCTTCCAGAGAGTTTGATTTGCCGGATTTTGTCTTTCTTGCCAATAGAAGTTGCTGCAACTACTTCTGTTCTCTCAAAAAGCTGGCGCTTTGTGTTTGCTTTTGCACCAGACCTATCATTTAGATATGACGAAGGTGCTGACGGGTTGGCGTTTGTTGATTTTGTTGATAAAGTGCTGGTTCGGCGAGGACAAGCTTTGGTAAAGAAGTTCTCTCTGTATCTTGTTGAAGGCATTGATGGATCTCGTGTTGATGCTTGGATACTCTATTCTTTGAGACGCCATGTGTCAGATCTTGAGATACAGATATTTAATCTGGATAATTGGTTTGGACCACCTTCAGATGTCTTTGTGGCTAAGACACTAGTTAGGCTGGTAATAGGCACTGGGGATAGTTGCATGATTAATTTGGAAGGTAATTGTGATCTCCCAAATCTGAAGATTCTTCGTCTTGATGAAGTTCAGTTTACAGATGATAATATTGGGTTTTTGAAGCTTCTCTCAAGTTGCCCTGCTCTTGAGGAGTTAGCTATGGTGGACATGAAGTGGTATGACTGGGATGTCTGCTCTCTGTGTAGCACAAGTCTCCAGAGAATCAAGGTTTGCTGGGAATCTTATGATGACGACGAAGACCATAACGGATGCCCCAAGAGCGTGTCATTTGACACTCCAAATCTTCGGTTGTTAGAATATTCAGACGATAATGCTAACAAGTGTCCAACAGTCAACTTTGACAAGCTTGTTGGAGCCAAGATTCATCTTCGCAGAAAAGCAGAACAAGAAGAAGAAGAAGAAGAGGAGGAAGAAGAAGAGAATGTAGCTGGTGATGCTACAGGTTTTTGGAAGGGAATCAGCAACGTTGAGATCCTTGTCCTAACGTCAGAAACTCTAGAGGTTCGCCACTGTTGTTCTAAGTCTGAGTCTCTTGGATTTGAATACCTTTGCCACTGTTGTGATGATTTAGTTGACATGATCTTGTGTTTCAGGTGCTTACAGAGGATCATATGCCGGTTTTCAAAAACCTCAGTCAACTAACAATGAAAACTGGCCCAGAACTAAGATGGGAATCGCTGTCAGCTTTAATCAACAACTGCCCAAATCTAGGAACACTGTTCCTCAAAGTAACTGATCATAATTCCTGGCGTCAAAGTGGACCTCTGCTGAAGGTAAACAAGAGATTTGAATGTGGAGGAGCTGATGAAGATAAAAAGACACTAATCGAGCAAGTGAAACAGTTTTTGGAGGAAATTAACTTTGAAGAATAGGTACAATAGCACGATACATGATCAGGACTTGTTGAAGAAGTTACTCACTCAAGTGATCAACCTTGGATGTCAAAGCAACTCCATAGTTTTCATTTGAGTCGTTTGGTTTTCGAAGCCATTTAAGTAGTAGAATCTGTTATATAAGCTAGAACTGAAACACCTTTCTCATTTATATAAGTTTTCTGTGTCAGTGTGTATCAAACGAGAACGTTGGAAGAACTGGTCGTTGGAGTATTAAGTATATGATTAAGGAAATCATTATATGCTGAAGCACACACCCTATATATTCTATTTCTTATTCATATCAAAAACTATTCCAATATGGTGGTCTGGTGGACCCAAAAATTAGTTTTATCGTGGTTATTAGAAAAAGCGATCTGTAATTCCAGCATAATCAATTTTAAGGATATACTACAAAATAATGATTTGACTTCAAAATGATTTAGAGGATGTTATTGGTTGTATAAATTGAAGTAAACTCTACTAGATTTTAAAGTTCATCAGATTTTAAATAAAATAGATTTATTGAAGCTGAATTGTTATTCATTCTGACAAATCTGTGGAAATGTATTTCCAACGACATATCATATCATTTGGTTTTGAGCAATCTATATTAACATTTTTAAAGACAGTTATGAAAAAACCCTCACTTAGCTCACTTATTTACAAGGTCCTGCCATTGGCTTTAAATAACTATTCTCTAATATTTCTAAAATTTGTTTCCACGATTATTCAACAAATTTAATTTATAGGATCCCTAAAAATTAGCTGATTTGCGAGCTGAATATTCTGAGATTTTCGAAATGATTTTTCACTTATAGCTTTCAATTATTTAATGATTTCTATAATTTTAATTTTTCAGAATAAATTCTCTTTGATCGCCGAAGATTCGGTTACCTAATCATCCGTTTCTAAAAATCATTATAAATACTTCCGATTACTCTCATCTCAAATTTACCAAAGCAACGTCCCAGTCTAAACAATAATCGATCATCTCTTCTTCCCAGTGGAGAGAGATCCAAAAAGAAAATGAAAATATCGATTACTGAATCTCATCTTCATTGGCATTAGATTGGAATTGGTAATCAATTCAACAGAGATGGATGTTGGTTTTGATTACTGAATTTGATGGATGAAGTTCTCAATTGTATATCAGATTTTGCTTTTTAAGCGTGTGATATGGGACCTCATAAGGAAAAACATTTTTGTTTGGTCAGTTATGTATGTTTGACTTTTTTTTTATTTTTATTTTTTTTGAATAGCTAATTCTCTACTAATCCTTCAAAATGAAAAATCTTATAACTTATGGCAATTTGTTTTAGGCAAATCTATATATATTCTTTTAAGTTCTCAGTAAAATAAAATGTATTCTTAACACACATATTATAAGTTCCAAAGTTACATAAGAGATAGTAAACTTCCAAGCTATTTGTTCGCATATGTTGCAATTTAAATTATTTAAAACAGACATACATTACATTTCCCATATGTACTTTCAATTAGTAATTTTAAAAAATATATGAATTAAGATAAATATGAAAAGTTTTTAAAAGTTTCAAAATATTATTAGTATTCAAATTTTAAAACTTAAATTATTATGAATACTGAAACTTTTACAAGGTGTCGAGGTTCAAATATTATAAATATTTTAATTCGGACAGTCCGATGTCGTATTCTAA